GATATTGGCTTCCCATCGATGTTTGGACTTACCCATCGCTGGTAAGCCAATTTTCCTTCAGTTTTGAAGCCAACGGTCACCTACCCATCGATGGGTACAAGCTTCCCATCGCTGGGTGGGAGGTTGACTTCCAAACAAGGAAAGAATCAACCTTAAATGACTTCCAACGGTCATGCCTTCCCATTGATGGGTATGCCCTTCCATCGCTGGGTTCCCATCGATGGGTAAAGGTTCCCATCGCTGGGTAAGGGCATTCTGCCTTGTGATAATGTTGGACCAAGACTTGAACAACGATGGGTAGAACTTCCCATCGCTGTTTGGCATGGTTCTAGAAATCAGTTGGGCTGAAGGCTGCTTACCCATCGCTGGGTAATATCTCCCATCGCTGGGTGGCATGATTCTGGAATCCCGAGATCACTTACCCATGGATCGATGATATCTACCATCGCTGGGTAGATGGCTAGCCTAGAACCATGGCCTAGCCGACCGGCGCTGAAACCTGACCGAAAAATGCAAAGTTCTCCAAAGTAAAAACTAAGTATATAAAACACTTAGTTAATGTATTGTGATGTCAAAACAAGCTTTGTAAGTTGAAAACCACGTCGTTAAGGTAAAAACCACGGTTGACCAAGTCAATGCCGTACACGGGTGGTTTTTACCAAAAGACAAAACCGAAAGGTGGTTTTCATGATGTTTTGATTGGAGAACCATTTAAATGCATTCAAAAACAATTCCCACACAAAAAGACTCGAAAACCACTTCATTTAAGTAAAAACCACGGCTAGCCAAGTTTATGTCATTTCGCATGGTTTTTATCAAATGACAAAAAACGAAAGGTGGTTTTTGCAGTGTTTTTGATGGAAAACTATTTAAATGTGCCCAGAAGTAAAAAACAATCATAAAAAGTTGAAAACCACTTGGTTGTTCGGATGCCAAAAACCAACGCCGATAACCGAATGCCGAATGCCGGTTTCCGAAAGCCGAACCCCGGATGGATTGGTTTTTTGTTTGGGCGAACACCAAGTGTTTTTAATATGTTTAAGCATGTTTGAAAATAATTTTGATGATATGTAAAATGCAATAAAAAATGTTTTATCCTAAAGAGCCAAAGTGCAAAGCTTGGGTCGGTCTTGATCACATTGTGACCGACTCAACGACGCTAAAGACTACGGTCTTCGTTCTTAGTCTCTTTTAGCTCTGGTTCTCTTGCTTTCTTCTTATATCTATTTCTCGCCTTGTATATTCAACAACTTGTCTCGTTCACGGCGGTTTGGCATTATCAAAACCTGTCATAAAAACGAACACGGCTTTAGTACGAAAACACGATAAACCCGTGTTTCAACAATTTCCCCCTTTTTGATAATGGCAAACAAGACAGGGTTATGCATAGGAGGATTGATTTGAGACTTAAAAAATGTTCCCCCTTAATAAATGCAATTTTCTTTTCAACAAAGTTTATGTGTTGAATAAGAGTTAGTTTAGAAAAAGTTCCCCCTCAATCTATGCATAACCTTTATATCTTCCCCCTTTTGACATTAACAAAAAGAATTAAAAGTAAACTTTTGTTTATTAAAAGGGAAATGCGGAATACAACGGATAAAAATACAATCATATTTAATAAGGAGAAAATAAAGAAGAGGTCGTGGCGTCGGTGTTGGCCTTCTTCTTTGAAGCCTCTGTTTTGGTCCTCGACTTTCCACTGGCCATTGTTGAAGCGTTTAGAAAGTGAGTAGAGGCTTAAAGTATGCAAAAGAAATGTAAATTGTGTGTTAAAAATGACCAAGGATGGTTAATATTTATAGGAAAAGAGAATTTGGGCCCTTGGTGTTCAAAAATATGGCTGTTGGGCATTGAATGAGGTGCCCAACGGCTATGATTTTTGAACTACAACAAGCTTCCTAGTGATGGTAAGGTTCTCCCATCGATGGGAAGACAACTACTGGAAAGGGAGAAAAAAAGTGAAGGCAGCCTTCCCAGCGATGGTAAGGTTCTCCCATCCATGGGAAGACAGCTACTGGAAATCTGTTAAAAATTTTTAAAAAAGTGTCAAACACTCAGCAATGGGAAGAAGTTCCCATCGATGGGAAGAGGGCTGCTGGTTAGAAAATACTTCCTTCCCAGCGATGGGATAAACCACCCACCGCTGGTTCCCCCTGAGTTCCTCACTTTGATACGTACCTGCAAAAAAAACAACACTTTGGTACCCAAAGTATATCTATGAGTCCTTGGGGGTTAGTTAACCTTTATTGCCCACACACACCCAAAATTCATTTCCTTACACGCGCACACACACACACACGATTAGATGATCGTTTAGGAATTACCTTGGCCAATCCATGATCTCATGGTTGGCGGGTTCCAGTCTACCTGAACGGAGTGCTGATATCTCAGTGTGATTTGTGTTGGTTCCGGTAACGAAATGTGGACTTTCTTCTTTTCGTCAAAGTAGAAGAAATAGTAAGGTTTCTTTTGTGCATTATCCTGTGGAGATTTTTTATGATACGAATATCCTTTTCCAAAGGATTTCTTTTCATTAGCACCAAATATGTTGTGTGTTTCATTATAGGTGAAGTGCCTATGTCTGGTAAAACACACGGGAGTTATATGTCCTACCCTATTGCAATAATGGCATACTACGTTTGGGTTGAACATATGCCTAGGTTGATAATAGCTAGGGGGCCTAACCATGTTTGTCCTATTTTGAGAAAGGGATGGTTTATGCATGTTTTCAAAAGGATCAATTCTAGTTGTTCTAACATTGTTTTGTCTATTTAAAAAATTATTTTTATGCATGAAATCATTTTGATAATTTCTCCTAGGTTGCCTAACATGCTCGTGTTCATAACTAACCTTTTGTCTAGGTTGTCTATTATTTTTGTTTTTATCTTTCTTAGGTTGAGCTCTACGTTGTTTACTTTTGTGCTCAACTTTTTCTTTATTTTCAGGTTCATCAATCTTTCCAAAACCTATTCCTTCTTTAGTGTATTGCATAGAATCAAAAACAAGATTAAGATCCTTATGTGGTTTATTAAATTTCTTCACCGTGTTTTCTAGTTTAGCAACTTGTTCTTTCAAAGCTATGCAAGAGTCACAATTTCTCGTAGAGCTCTCGGGTTTGTCGGCGCTTCTTTTACCATAAAATTTATTTTCTTCTTTTAGTTGTTCATTCTCCTTTTGAATTTTTTCAAGTTCGGTTTCAAGATTGGAAAAACGTTTCTTTAAAACTTTGTTGGTTTTAGAAGCGCTAACAAACTCGTCATAAAGCTCTTGGAGAGCTTCCTGCATTTCTTCAAGAGAATAAGAACTGGTAGAAGAAATACGTGCCTCTTGGTTTTCGTTGTTGGCGGACTCCTCTTCTTCTTGAGCTACGAGACAAAGGTTTGCTTCCTCTTCTTCCTCTTGTTCGCTTGATTCATCGCCGGAGTCACCACCCCACGAGATGTATGCTCTTTGCTTTTTGAAGTGACTAGCATTCCTTCCGCTTCTTGGGCATTTGTTCTTGATGTGCCCGGCTTCACCACATCCATAGCACACAGGGCTATCCTCAATTTTCTCTTTCTTCCTTAGAAGTTTACAAAACTTCTTCATGACAAGCTTGACTTCATCTTCGTCGCTTGAGTCATTCATTGCCGGTTCTTTGGAGGCTTTTAATGCTATGCCTTTTCTCTGATCATTCAAAGACGGGTTAAGTATAGTAGATTCATACGTTTTTAAGTTACCTCTTAAACCGTCGTTGGTGACATTTGATGTGCCGATTGATTCATAGATGGCATCGGCCTTAGATCGCCATTCAGATGTCAAGCTCCGTAGGATCTTTCGTACAAGATCCCTGTCGGTGTAAGTCTTCTTCAATGCTTGGAAAATCGGTCGAACATGTCGGTCGAACATCGGTCGAACATCGGATGTTTACTATCTTGGAAAATCGGTCGAACATGTCGTCGATCTTCTCGTGCTCCTTCATCGTGAACATCTCATATTCTTGGGCGAGGAAGTCAATCTTGGCTTCACGTACTTGGTCCGTTCCTTTGTACGTCACCTCAAGTTTATCCCACATCTCTTTGGCGGTTGAGCAGCAGGAGATCTTGCGGTAGTCATCAGGATTTACGGCACAATAAAGCATGTTTATTGCCTTTGCATAATTCTCGACCTTTTTGATGTCCTCGGCATCAAACTCGTCTTCGGTCTTGGGGATCAACTTGTCTCCGACTTTCTTCCTCGACACCTCTTCCCCGTTTTTGATAACCAACCATAATTGGAAGTTCGTGGAACGAATATAGATTCTCATTCGTTTTTTCCAATATGTATAATTGGTTCCATTAAAAAGAGGTGGTCGTGTGGTTGATTGCCCTTCACCTATTCCTGCATACAAATTTCTAGAACAAGAACCCATGATCGCTTTTCTCTCAAACGATTAAGTTTGGACGCGAGTTAGGCTCTGATACCAATTGTTAAAATAAGTGACCAATGCTAGAGGGGGGGGGGGGTGAATAGCGTTTGATCGTAGAAATTGCAGGAATAAAAAAAATTAAGAACGTGAAAAGTAAAGAGCGTAAAAAGCGTAAAGGGAGCACACCAAGATTTATACTGGTTCACCACAACGTGTGGCTAATCCAGTCTCCCGAGAGACTCTCTCGAGCTACACTACTTCCGTTAAGCTTACGGGTGCTTAACAAACCGTTACAACCTGAGAACTTGAGTCCCACGAGCCTCAACAACACTTGCTCGGAGATACCGCACTCCAAGACTTCAACCCGAAGGAAAATACCTTTCCTTCGTACAACCAAGGGAAACAAGCTTCCCTTAACGTGTATACAACACTAAACACTCAAGAACAAGACTCTCGTTAAGAGTAGATGATGAGTAAACTAAGTACGCTCAAGAACAACTCAAACTTCACACAAATTGGCTCTAGAAAGCTATGGAAAATGATGTTGTATGAATGCAATGATCATATGAATAATGTGAAGTGAATTGATAAGAAAAGCAGACCCAAACACCCCTTTTTATAGTGCCAAAATATGCTCCAACGGACCAATACATTAAAGGGGTGATTGGCTTGATTTATGGGATTGAATAAATTTGGGATCTGCAGGATATTGGCTTCCCATCGATGTTTGGACTTACCCATCACTGGTAAGCCAATTTTCCTTCAGTTTTGAAGCCAACGGTCACCTACCCATCGATGGGTACAAGCTTCCCATCGCTGGGTGGGAGGTTGACTTCCAAACAATGAAAGAATCAACCTTAAATGACTTCCAACGGTCATGCCTTCCCATCGATGGGTATGCCCTCCCATCGCTGGGTAAGGGCATTCTGCCTTGTGATAATGTTGGACCAAGACTTGAACAGCGATGGGTAGAACTTCCCATCGCTGTTTGGCATGGTTCTAGAAATCAGTTGGGCTGAAGGCTGCTTACCCATCGCTGGGTAATATCTCCCATCGCTGGGTGGCATGATTCTGGAATCCCGAGATCACTTACCCATGGATGGGTGATATCTACCATCGCTGGGTAGATGGCTAGCCTAGAACCATGGCTTAGCCGACCGGCGCTGAAACCCGACTGAAAAATGCAAAGTTCTCCAAAGTAAAAACTAAGTATATAAAACACTGAGTTAATGTATTGTGATGTCAAAATAAGCTTTGTATGTTGAAAACCACGTCGTTAAGGTAAAAACCACGATTGACCAAGTCAATGCCGTACACGGGCGGTTTTTACCAAAAGACAAAACCGAAAGGTGGTTTTCATGATGTTTTGATTGGAGAACCATTTAAATGCATTAAAAAACAATTCCCACACAAAAAGACTCAAAAACCACTTCATTTAAGTAAAAACCACGGCTAGCCAAGTTTATTCCGTTTTGCATGGTTTTTATCAAATGACAAAAAACGAAAGGTGGTTTTTGAAGTGTTTTTTATGGAAAACTATTTAAATGTGCCCAGAAGTAAAAAACAATCATAATGTTTAAGCATGTTTAAAAATAATTTTGAAAATAATTCGAATGCCGGTTTCCGAAAGCCGAACCCCGGATGGCTTGGTTTTTTGTTTGGGCGAACACCAAGTGTTTTTAATATGTTTAAGCATGTTTGAAAATAATTTTGATGATATGTAAAATGAAATAAAAAATGTTTTAGCCTAAAGAGCCAAAGTGCAAAGCTTGGGTCGGTCTTGATCACATTGTGACCGACTCAACGACGCTAAAGACTACGGTCTTCGTTCTTGGTCTCTTTTAGCTCTGGTTCTCTTTCTTTCTTCTTATATCTATTTCTCGCCTTGTATATTCAACAATTTGTCTCGTTCACGACGGTTTGGCATTATCAAAACCTGTCATAAAAACGAACACGGCTTTAGTACGAAAACACAATAAACCCGTGTTTCAACACGAAACCAACGAGCTTATTCGAAACCGTGTCATAGCTTGGTTAATTATTATAGAAATCACCCTAAATAGGTCTACGACATAGATAATAGTATTAAAATAGGACTTTCATGTTTTTTTTCCCGAAATATGACTTAATGGTAATGTGGCATTTTACATGTGCACATTACTATACTTTTTTGGTAATATATATGACTATGTTTGGTAATGTAAGTCCTATTCCGGGAATAAAAACATGCATGGAAGTCCTATTTTGATATATTTTTAATGTTTTAGTCCTACTTTGGTGTTTATTCTAATTATTAACTTTTTTAATTGAAAAAAATAGACACTTTCTTTTTATGAGAAGTCAAAATTAAATCTGACATACAAAATAATACGGACAACAATGTCCTTTGCAATTTAATCCAATAATTATTATAAAGTTGATTTAATTCTTTTTGATGAATTATTAAAGTTGATTTAATTTGTGTCTAAATGTACTTTTTGGGACTGGGAATAATGGTTCACTAGATGATCATTGGAATCTCATTGGGTGCATCTAAATTAAAAATCCCAAAGCAATAAAGTGTTTGTTGGTTACCCTCAGTTTTAACTAGTTTAATTTTTTGAAGGCATGGGACTCGGCAGTAGCATACCCAAGTACTGCTTCTATACCCCTTTATCTTTTAAGAATTACTCCCTACTACGGAGTATTTCCTTTGTTGATTAGCGAGCAAGGGGATGAGATACTTAGGCCCCGTTTAGTACGCGACTGGAATTGAAGACTACAATTCCAGTTCTACTGTTTGGTAGCACAAAAATATGTGGATTTGGAATAGGTAGTGCTAAGAATGAATTGAAATTAGAGAATTCAATTCCATCCAAATCAATTCCACAAAATTTTAACTCCAATTCAATTCCAATTCTGTCAATTCTGTGTACCAAACGGACCCTTAGTCAAACAAAATTTGAAATTATTTGAAATCATAAACCAGACTTGATACATACGCTATTGCTTTTAAAATAAATTCTAGTGTTTATACTGTTTAATTTCATGAATTAAAAAAGTATTTAAAATTAAAAAGAGTGAATTAATGGTTAACATATTACGGAGTATTACATAAGAGAAAAAGGTTTTGTGACACGTATTTTATTCTTAAATAAGAAAAAAATGGTGTTAAATTTATTTTGAGACAATAAAAAAAGTGCGAGTGAAATTCATTTCTTGATATAAGCATGTAAAATGTATACATCGCACTTGAATAGCTCCTTGAGACAATGTTTCATTCAATTTATTTTTTCTGCTTACTTATTCTTATTAAAAACAGATAAAATCTTATCAGATCAGATCCAATAAAATCAGATCCTATTATTATTCTTGTTGTTGTTGTGGTTGTTCTTGTTGTTATTTTTGTCGTTGTTATCACAACCAAACATTTGATATTCTTATATTCTTCTCGCATTTTTTTCAAAATCGAATTCAAAGCTAGTGGTCATTACATAACCGTGTGGAGCCATATATAGCTTGTCTTAACCATAAATTTCTTTTTTTTTCTTTTAAATTTAAGAAAAAATGTAATATTCATTTCATCCCATAAAACATTTATATTGATATTTTGTGGTATTCCGTATAAATTTATTATGTAAGATGTAAAAAAATGTAATATTTTGTAGAATAACATTCATATTTTTTTTAATGATGGAATATTTTAATAATAATACTCTATATTTTTTTATATTGAATATTAAAAAAGTGAAATCGGTTTAAAAGTTATTAGAAAAAGGTATAACACCCTAGAAATCGGTTTAGAAGTTATTTGATAATTAAATAAATACCGAGTAAGAATTATTTATTTACGACAATTTTGTTTTTTAAAGAATTAAAAGATACTTTAGAAATTCTAATCGTCTCAATATAACGAGACTAATCTGACTCTATTTGTAAAGGTTTAAATTAAAAAAGTGATCAGTACTAATAAATCGAGAGAATTAAGACGAACCAGTTGGAATCTATAAATACTCGTTGAATGATTATAAAAGTTATATCGTTGGGTACAGATCGACAAATCAAATCCAACGACACAAACGGATCTCATTTCAGAGCAAGTTGGCCCGAAAAGTGTGTTTTTACTAAGACACGTCATTTTAAATTATGGAGTACAAAACCCTAGACCTTACGCGGCTATCTTCTTCTCCCCCTCTTCTTCATTGATTAACCTAGCACCGCCACCAACCCCTTTCCTCATTCTTCTGTCCTTCGATCGGAAACAAGAACCAGGCCAACGCTGTCTCCTCCTATCCAACTCAGCGGCGAGGCGGAGAGAATTAATCCGAGAGAAACAACAATGCCTGTGAAGTGCGGCGACGACAAACCAGCATACCCCTTCCGCGACGAGTTTGGACGGCAGTCAGGTCAGCGACCCACCTTTGCACTGACAACCCCCTCTATGCACGACGAGTGAAGCCACGTGATTGGCGACGAACCCAGTAGCTCTCCGACGGTGATGAGCAATCCGGCAGTGGGTCTAGTTGGTTTAGACGGTACCCCCAGTTTGTAGGACCGGCACCTAGGTACCATGAGGACGGCACCATACCTAATGCCAGGTCCGTCGATCTATGTTTTCGTCAAGGATTGATTCCGAGACTTTGTATGTTGCATGACGGTAAACATGGGTGTTTACACCTAGTGTTAGGCCACTATTTGATTATGTTGGATATCTTGTTTAATGCATTGTGGATTTATGAATGTTAAATTATCCATTGATTAATGAATGTTGGATATGTCACCTAGTGTTTACACCGAGTGTTAGTGTTGGAACACGGGTTTACGCCTACGTCGTACTAAATTGTGTTCGTTTTATGACAGGTTTTGATAATGCCAAACCGCCGTGACATAACAAGGCTAAAGTGAGCAAAACAAAGGCAAAGGAACATGGCATGATGATTTGAGAACCAAGAACCAAGAATCAAGAACGAAGAATTAGAATTGCATTGAGTCGGTCTTAATGTGATCAAGACCGACACAAAATTTCAAATCTTGGCTCTCTAGGCTCATTCCATCAAAATACTTTTTGCAAATTCCAAAATGATTTTCATAAGTTTTAAACATGCCTAAAAACACTTGGAGTTCGCCCAAATAAAAAACCAAGCCATCCAGCGTTTGGCTTTCAAAAACCAGCGTTCGGCTTTCGGTTTTCGGCGTTGGTTTTTGGCGACCGAACCAACCAAGTGGTTTTCAACTTTTTATGATTGGTTTTTACTTCTGGGCATATTTAAATAGTTCTCCAAAAAAACGCTTCAAAAACCACCTTCCGTTTTTGGTCGTTTAGTGAAAACCATGCAAAACGTCTCAAACTTGGTTAGCCGTGGTTTTCAATTAAATGACGTGGTTTTTGAGATGTTTTACTTGATTTCTTAGCAAAATGCAATTAACAAATGTTTTAAATACTTGGTTTTTATTTTGGAGAACTTACATTTTTGACATTGGCTAACGGCATGACTAAACCAACCATGGGCCTGGCTAAACCAGCCCAACAGCGATGTTGGTGTAACCAACAGCACTGTCTGGCTTGGGTAGCTGAAAACCATGGTTTGACGTTAAGTCTTCCAACAGCGATGTTGGATATTAGACATCGCTGTTGAGCCAAGGTTGGGCTTCCAGAAACATCTGGAACAGCGATGTAGCCTTCCCTACATCGCTGTCCAACCTAAGCCAAAAATAAAGTGCATTGGCAGAAAGTTTTTGGACAGCGATGTTGACCCAGCAATAGCGCTGTCAGGCCAAAACTCCACCTTCAAAGTCAGACCTAAACAGCGATGTTCAAGTATTGAACATCGATGTAGGGACCTGACCGTTGGAAGGAATTTAAGGCTAAAACTTTCCTTGTTTGGAAGTCAACAGCCAAAACAGCGATGTAGGAATACTGGACATCGCTGTTGGCATGACCGTTGCTTCCCAATTTTCAAAACCCAAGCATAGAACAGCGATGTCCAAGCCTAGGACAGCGCTGTCTGGGTGAATTTCAGCAGATCCAAATTTAATCAAATCCCACAAATTGTGCCAATCACCCCTTAAATGTTTTGGTCCGTTGGAGCCTATTTTTCTACTATAAAATGGGGTGTTTGGGTCTGTTTTACATATCACATAACTTCACAACTCCTACTCTTTCATTGCAAATAATTCATCCTTTATTTTTAGCTTTTTGAGAGCCATTTTTTGTGAAGCTTGTGTTGTGTTCTTGAGCGTTCTTAGTTACTCAATTATCCACTCTAAAAGAGAGTATTGTTCTTGAGTGTTTTTAGTGTTCTTAGACACTTGACAAGAGAAAATATTTCTCTTGTTGTTCGAAGGAAGGGTTGTTTCCTTCGAGGGTTCGTTGAGGTTCGTGTGACTCGAACTCTCAAGTTGTATGGGTTTGTTAAGCACCGTTAATCTTAACAAGATAGTAGTGTAGCTCGAGAGAGTCTCTCGGGAGGCTGGATTAGCCACAAGTTGTGGTGAACCAAGGTAAAATCGGTGTGCCTCTTACTCTTCTCTTTACTTCTCGTTTATTCATTTTTTATTCCTGCGATTTCTTGATCAAATACTATTCACCCCCCTCTAGCGTTGGTCTATTATTCTAACAATTGGTATCAGAGCCTAACTCGCGTCCAAACTTAACCGCTTGAGAGTAAAACGATCATGGGTTCTTCTTCTAGAAATCTCTATGCAGGAATTGGAGAAGGTCAATCAACTTCTAGGCCACCACTCTTTGATGGCACCAATTATTCCTATTGGAAGGAACGGATGAGAATCTATATCCGTTCCACCAACTTCCAATTATGGTTGGTCATCAAAAACGGAGAGGAAATCCCAATGAAGAAAGTAGGAGAAACCACGGTTCCAAAAACCGAGGACGAGTTTGATGCTGAGGACATCAAGAAGATTGAGAATTATGCAATGGCCATCAATATGCTATATTGTGCGGTCAACCCTGATGACTGCCGAAAGATCTCCTGTTGCACAACCGCCAAGGAGATGTGGGTTAAGCTTGAAGTAACGTACAAAGGTACCGATCAAGTGCGTGAAGCCAAGATCGATTTTCTCACCCAAGAGTATGAAATGTTTCGAATGAAGGAAGGTGAGAAAATCGACGACATGTTTGATTGTTTCTCAAAAATCATAAACGATCTTCATGCTCTTAAGAAGACGTATACCAACAAGGATCTCGTAAGGAAAATCCTGCGAAGCCTCACCCCCGAATGGAGGTCAATAGCCGATGCAATCTATTTATCCATTGGAGTCTCCAACGTCACCATCGACGGGCTAAGAGGTAATCTTAAAACCTATGAATCTATTATTCTAACCCCGTCTTTGGATGAACAAAAGAAAAAGGGGATAGCTCTCAAAGCCACCAAGGAACCGGTGGAAGAGGTCTCAAGCGATGATGACAACGAATTTGGACTCGTCATCAAGAAGTTCCACAAGTTCATGAAGAAGGAATTTGAGCGGAAGGGAAGGAAGCACGACGGTCCTCCCAAGTGCTACGGCTGTGGCGAGATTGGCCACATCAAGCGAAGGTGTCCAAAAGCCAAACACGGTAAGGACAAGCTTAGCTTCAAGAAGCAAAGGGCTTACATCTCTGGGGGTGGCGATTCCGGCGACGAATCAACCGACCAAGAGGAGGACGAAGCTGCAAATCTTTGCCTCATGGCGCACGAAGATCAAAACGACGACATCCAAGAGGTATGTACCATTTCTTCCGACTCTTATACTTTTGAAGAAATGCAAGAAGCACTTCATGAACTTTATGAAGAATTTGTTAGCGCTTCTAAAACAAATAAATCTTTGAAGAGACGTCTTTCTACACTTGAAAACGATTTTGAAAAATTGGAAAAAGAAAATGAAAAACTTAAACAAGAAAACAATTTTTTTGGAAAAAGAAGCACTGACAAACCGGAAAGTTCATAAAGTGATAGTGGGTCTTGTAAAGCTTTAAAAGAGCAAGTCGCTAAACTTGAGAGCACGGTCAAGAAATTTAATACTCCTCACAAAGACTTAAATTTACTTCTTGACACTATGCACTTTTCTAAGGAAGGAATAGGTTTCAATAAAAATGAAGCTAAAGAAAATGTTGAGCCACCACCTAGACAATCATTTAAGGTTCAACATAAGAAACCTAAAAATCAAGATAATAGAAAACCTAGTCAACCGAAGGACACTAGACAACCTAGACTAAAACCTAGGAATGAAAATGGTCATGGTAGACAACCTAAGAAAATGATTTTGTGCATAAAAATGAATTTTCTCAAATTAGGAGAAATAATGCTAGAGCACCTAGAAAAGGCCAGTTTCAAAATTTTCAAAAACCATTGTTTTCACAAAATAGGAACAAAATGGTTAAACCCTCTAACTATTATGAACCTAGGCACATGTACAACCCCAACGTAGTTTGCCATTATTGTAATAGGATAGGTCATATTGCTCCCGTTTGTTACACTAGGCATAGGCACCTATCACAAAATCAAGCACACTACCATCACACACCTAACACCCGAGGACCCAACGTAAATTGGGTACCTAAAACTCATTGATGTGTTTCATAAGTGTGCTTGAAGGCATCAAGTGTACTTTGGTACCTTGATAGCGGATGCTCCAAGCACATGACCGGNAATCACGTCCCTCTTCGTTGTGATAATACTAGCGCCATAAGCTTGACGAAGAACCCCGTTCTTCACTCAAGGACGAAACACATTGACATTAGGCATCATTTCATTAGAGATCATGTTCTCAAAGGTGATGTCGAAATTGAGTTTGTTGAAACACACAACCAATTAGCCGACATTTTCACAAAACCTTTAGAGAAAGAGTCGTTCTTCCGCATTCGAAGTGAACTCGGAATCCTTGACTCCACGATGATCTAAGTTGTGCATCTAAACTTGTTGAACGTTTACTAACTTGAGCGTCGGAGGACTTTTTCTTTTTTGCAGGTACCCCGTTCATGAAATCAGGGGGAACCATGCAAACAGCGCTGTCCAGGAGACCTAACAGCGCTGTTGAGAGAAACACCGTCAACCAGCTTGTGCCAACAGCGCTGTACAACAAGCCAACAGCGCTGTTCGAGGGGCCTTATACTTTCCAGAATCTTTTTCAACAGCGCTGTCCCTTTTTCAACATAGCTATTTTCCAAAACACCTTGTTTTCAAACAAAACCAGAAAGTTTTCCAACACCGTTGTCCACCATTACAACAGCGCTGTCCATTTTTACAAATTTTTTTCTATCGTAAAACAATGATGTAGGGAAACCCAACAGCGCTGTTCTAATGGGTTCAAACCCTTACACATTTCCAGAAACTTTTGGAACATCGCTGTAGGGTACCAAACATCGCTGTCCAATTGACTCCTGTTTTTTTTAAAACTTGACGCAGAACAACGCTGTACAAGGGCACAAAAGCGCTGTCCCAACAGCGATGTCCCCTGTAGAACATCGCTGTTCTGGTCAAATTTTTCAAAAAAATACCATTGGCAACTGTATTAAAAGCTCCAACAGCTATTTTTTCAAGCTTTTGAACGTTAGGAACTCATTCTCCTATATATTTGGACCCCCTCTTCTCACTTTTACACACACAAACACAATTCTCTCCCTTCCTCTTGCATATTTCATCCTCCTTACAATTTTTTTTCCAGAATTCTCCACTATGGGCAGAGACAATAGCAGGGCTGCCACCTCCGGGAAATCAAAGTCCAAATCCCGGGCGCCTGCGACGTCCTCCGAGGAACGCCTCTACTATGGCGATGGGTCGTACCTCTGGTTCGATTCCGAGGAGGAGCGCACCCGCTTTTTCACCTTTTTCTCTAAACGGGTTATGGCTCCCACACGAATCGTCCCGGAGCGCTTCCCGGAGTTGCAGGGCTACGACGACTTAGACGCGCAGCTTCATCAAGCCGGCCTTTGGCCGTTCGTCTCCCGGGCTCGAAAGGAGATCAACCCGGCACTGATCCGGGCCTTCTACTCCAACCTCTGGCGTGAGGACGACGTCATCTACAGCCTCGTCAAGTCCACGCCGATTGA